TCATTACCAATCATTACCATTATCATTATATTTGCCTTTATCATCATTACCATCATTTTCATCGTCATTATCATAATCCTCATCATCACCATCACTATCACCATCATCATTATGTTATAGTTAATGCGATTGTGTTTGCGCTCTTGTTGTCAACCATGGTTTTCTCTTTATAATCTGAAAACGAACTAATAAAAAATGGGGGAGCGAGAAGAATGAGAGAAACGAGAGGTGAGAAAGGAAGAGAAATGGGACAAGGACGAAAGCGAGTTATTATGACTTAAATAAACAGAAGGATTGCGTGTCGATTGCTGCATCTCTTGTAGTGTTCAAGGGTATCATGTCTTTCCTATTCTTGGTTAATAATTAATGGTTAAGAAACAAATGTGCTAGACATCAAAGGTCATACATCACTATAGGACAATATAGAAGTGAAAAGTAAAGAAAGGAGTTAATGAGTTAATGATCAGATGTGCTACACGTAAAGAGTCGTACAGCATTCTAGGATGGCATGATAAAGGTTGGAGAAGGATGACGGAAATGGGAGTGAGTAAATGGGGCAAGGCCGGGAGTGATACGAAGAGCAGGGCGAAGGACAGCGTTGGAATAGGTAGTGAGAGAAAGACCGTGTGGAGGTCCGACCTCGCGGGAAGTGAGGCCAATTTTGAATCTGAGGACTATTACCTCAGAGGGTCAGACTCGACCTCGTAGGGAGCCACCGTAGTTCTCATACTTGCATGACTGCGCAGGGCACTGCTTGACAGGGTAGCTAAATCGCCCGCATTTCTGACATTGACGGGGAAGGTGTCGATATGGTCGGACAGAGCAGCACTCTTTCCGCCAATATATACCTCTTATGGAAAGTCATGTCTAGGTAATTTCGGCAATATTGGTGGACTCTCGGTGGCCTCGGGGGGTAGTGTAGCACTATACTAATACTGCATCAAAGTCAGAGGCAGGCAAGCAGGGCAATATCATTCTGGCCAATCCTTGTCGTAGACAGGACAATCAGCCGGGGGGATAGTAACAGTTCCGGTACAAATATTAAGATGGGAGTGAGGCCAATCGGGGTAAATAAAGCACGAGATGTTACTGCGACAAAGTGTGAATTATCGGAACGGCTGCAGAAGGAAACTTTAACTACTTGTTTTAGGAGATTGTTAGAGTAGGAGGATATTATCAGAGTGAAAGGCTGTAAGGGGAATCACAAAAAAATCGAACTCACTTAGCTGGCTTACAAAGAGTACTCAACAGATTTTTAGAAGTGAAGGAGAGGAAGAAGACGAGCGAGGCTGTACTGCAAGGTGGTGGACAGTAAGGATGAATGGTAGTAATATGGGAAGAGGGAGTTGAAAATGAAGAAGACTGTGGAGGATATTGGTAGAGAAGAATGTTTTCTGAAGGATGGGTAAATGACCTGGAGGTGTGATTTGGAACAGATTGAGCTGACAGCAGGTATCGAGGAGTGTTGTAGTAGTCATGATTGGATTATGTGTAAAAAAAATATATATTATTCACCCTTTAAGGTCCCCATGAGGTGTAAGGGTTAGATAACCAAACAGAGGAATTCCGTGCCTATGGCTCCCTGAAGCCTTTTTTTCCTTTCTCACATCTTAAGAAGTCGACGAAGGTGGGGTTGGAGAAGATAATCAAAAGGAAAGGACCGTGCAATATTGGTTGAAACAAGGGCAGAGCAAAGGGAGGTCCCCAACATTGGCCTCAGTCTCCGTCCCCGAAGCTCCCACTCTCACAACAGCGGGCATGGGATTGGGGCAAGGCTTCCATATTCTTGAATGGATATTTTAACAGGCTTTCATTATGTAAACATCTGTCTTTGCAGTGTTTAAGCATCAATTAGAATGAGATTGTACATTCTACACACTAATTTATATTACAGTGGAAAATTTAGCATATCAAAATAGGTGGCATAATTTCACCGTGAAATTAATACCATAATAAAGTCTAGTTCTCATACAATACCTTTATTTGCAAACAAGAATAATCGGGTAGAGGAAATAAAAGTAGTTTTTAATTCAGTGTTTTTTTTTTTTATCCAGAATGTTCAGTCACTAAGGAAAATAAAAGTACTTTTTAATTCAAAGTTTTTTTTTTTATTTATCCAGAATGTTCAGTCACTAAGGAAAATAAAAGTACTTTTTAATTCAAAGTTTTTTTTTTTATTTATCCAGAATGTTCAGTCACTTTTGAAGGGAATAACAACGTTTTATATTTTAAACAATGACATTACAAATACTCCTCTTTCTGTGCATCCTTTTAATCTATGTAAAAAAAAAGAAAAGGTATTTAGTATTTTCTGCTACTAAAAAGATTTACTGTTTCATACGTTTATGGTTAACTGAATTTTTAAACTTATCTCTGCATATTTATATTAGTGTTATGGAGAGGGGGAGAAGGAAAGGAGGAGGAAGAGAGGAAAAAAGGGGGAGAGTGAGTAAGAGTGAAAGGGGGAGGGAGTGGGAGTGGGAGTGGGAGTGGGAGTGGGAGTGGGAGAGGGAGTGGGAGAGGGAGTGGGAGTGGGAGTGGGAGTGGGAGTGGGAAAGGGAAAGGGAGAGGGAGAGGGAGAGGGAAAGGGAGAGGGAGAGGGAGAGGGAGAGGGAGAGGGAGAGGGAGAGGGAGAAAGAGAAAGAGGGAGGGAGAGAGGGGGAGGGGGAGGGGGAGGGGGGGGGGGGAGGGGGAGGGAGAGAGGGAGAGAGAGAGAGAGAGTTAGACAGAGAGACAGAGAGACAGTGAGTGAGTTAGTAACATTGTAAGTGATAGTGTGAATCAGTATGAGCACTATTGTGTGTGTATACAAGTGTGCTTTGTTTGCTGGTCAGTCCATAGAAGAACGACAATCATACATTCTACAAATATATATTTCTCTAAAATATAAAAAAACGGTAACTAAAACAGCTGTATGAGTCCATGCAAAAGGGCAAGAAAACATACAATACTACACCAATAAATCTCTCATAACAATTCCATCCTTAAAAAATATTTTGACTATTCTGTATAAATATAAATAACCAGACACTTCACACGTCTACCTCTCTTTTGAGATTCTTCTGAAATTCAAAATCCTCCAACTGCTTGTATGTAATGCAATAAGCAACAATTGATTGATGAAGTGATAACATTTGCATGTGAAGAGTGAGAAAGTGAACAATGCCTCTAATGAATATCAACGGGAAGTGGCCATAAATTCAACCCAAAGAGGAGGAGGAGGAGGAGGAGGAGGAGGAGGAGGAGGAGGAGGAGGAGGAGGAGGAGGAGGAGGAGGAGGAGGAGGAGGAGGAGGAGGAGGAGGAGGAGGAGGAGGAGAAGAAGAAGAAGAAGAAGAAGAAGAAGAAGAAGAAGAAGAAGAAGAAGAAGAAGAAGGATGAGGAGTACTAAAACCCCTTCACCCAATGGTGGAGACCATAATCACGTCATAACTTTTTCTTTATTTCATTCAGTTGCAATAATCTTGACCTTGAATGATTTTGTCATTACAATGCTCCTTACCTATTGGTCAACCACTACAGTGATAAAAGTTTGGCAAGTAATTACTTATAGAGGGAAGGGTGTAATATGGAATGAGAGAATAAAGAAGAGGGTGAGGTAGACAGAAAGGAGAGAGCTAAGAAGGTAAAGGAAGGAAGAGAGGAAAGGAGGGAGAGAAAATACCCATATTTGGAATTAAGCATAATTTTTTTTCCGGAATCTCCCAGCACTTCGAAAAAGATGGCACTGCAGTTAAAGACTAGACGTTGGCCTTTTTTTCCCTTTCCCATTTGCAAGAGGAACTCAAAGCACCATGCCCTACCATTTGCTAATTTCTTAGGACTGGTTGAATATGGTCTTTACTATGGCTACCTTGTATCTACATGAGGAAATGCTGCTTCAGAGGCAAAAATAACAACAGGAACCTGGGAACAGTACACTTTGGCTATTCATCATAAAAATGGCACAGCAACAGATGCCAATGCATATAAACACCATCATTATCATTATACATGCAAACCAAACGGTATATATCAATTATATCTGCAGGTGACACATCATTCTTCAAGCACAATCTTTCTTTTTGTTTTCTTTCACATAATAAAGAGACCTATTCAGAAACACAAGGCAGTTTGTACACAAAAGGGGCATTCAAGTCCCATATCAAAAACAAACCTTAATTCTACTGATTATTCAGTATCTGTGATACTTTGAAATCACAAAATAATTGTAATATTTTTAAAATAATAGTAAAATGATAATCATATAGAAATTCATACTGAATATAGAAGAAACAAAACAAAAACCTGTTCAAATAAAAATACTATTTATGGCTGACTGTTATGTATCCCACTTACTCCTTTTCTTACTATTTAAAGTGAATGTGAAGACACTTATGTCACTCCATAAATACCAAAAAAATCAATAATCATGCATAAATCATGATTCTGTTTACCCTACATCACTCCCAAATAAAATAATCTGGTCTAATAAATCCTCAAAAATAATAAAAGCCTTAACAACTAGTAACACTTTCAACCTAAATAAGGGTGTCTATAAATGAGAGACAGGGAACATTCTCTGACAAAAGCTTTTCTTCTCATGAGATTATTTTTCCAAGTGACCTTTTAATTCCTCAGAATATCTATATTGTATAAGTGACACGAACTGCTAGTATAGACTGATACCCTGCTAGCACAAAAAAAAAAAAAAAAAAAAAAAAAAAAAAATGAAAACATGAAATTTCCTGAACACCTCTTAGAAATAGTCCTGAAGGAAATGCCAAATGGCATGCTAAGACATGTAGTAATGTGTAGTGCAACTGACTGACTGACTGAGAGAGAAAAAAAAAACATTAAATGATGTATGTTGCATTTACATCAGTTAATACTAATCCTCCTGTAAGATGTTTAATTAATGCATTACCTTTAAATATAAATATGCAAATGTTTATATGGGCCTATATATCCATCCTAATATATAACATGAAAAAGAGAATGAGAATCATGCCAATGATAATAAATTCTTGACTTAAAATCTGAATCTAATTCCAACAGCCTTATAACAAAAATTCCTTTTCAGACACTTATTCTCCTGATAATAACAATTATATACTTTTTTTTTAACTTCTTTCTTTTCTTTTCTCTTCTTTTCTTTGCTTCTTACCTACCCAGTTATTGCAAAGCTTTCAATTTTCTTCTTTTACCTATATAAGTATAAAGAAATGAAAGAAAGAAAGAAAAAAACCAGCACCCTCTCTAACCAGGTTTCAATATCAAATTTCTATCTTCAGCAACAAATGTTTTCCACCACAGCTAAGGAATTGCTATCAATAATACAATGCACTCTGCAACAATGTCCGATCAATGCAAACTTGTAGGCATCCTGTTGTCCTCAATTTCAACATGCTCTTGTCATTATCATCACCATCTCAAAACCTTGAGAAATGTATTACTTTTCTCAGTCAAGTTCTGCAGCAGCTACAGAAGATAAATAATTAAATAAATGATATGTTGCCATTTATATGCCTGATGAGAGACATATAAGATTCTATAGAAACAAGTCTACTTATCATTACTTGTAAAGTTCTTAACCCAAAGCCTCCAGGAAAATGTTGTGTTCACTGTAGTGTTGTTTTGGCAAATGTATCTGCACACAGATGGCTCTCCAAGTGCTTAGCCACAAAGGAGTCAATTAGTAGACCTTGTGACCTCACCTGATTTCACCTTTCCTTGAGTTTAGAGGAAAAAGTGTTTTTTTTTACTAAAGCTATCAATATTGTTGTTTTCATTATAGACATTATAATTATTAAAGTGTTATTTACATTACAAACAGCAATATTACATACAAGAAAATATTTTTGAAAATCAAGGAAAGAGGTAAACAGGCGAGACAAGTAGTAGCTATAATTGGCTCATTGGTGACTTGTGGAGCCATCTATGAGAACAAGCAATTAATAAATTAAACTGACAGTGGGCATGGCATGTATCTCCAGTGGCTTTGGGTTGATTTAGAAAAAAAGACTCTCTTGAAGTCCTACAGTCATCCCATTTACAGTTATCAATGCATTTATCATCACATGCAGGGAAAATTAAATTTTCCCTTAAATGTATTCACAAAAAATAAATAAAGGGCAATATTTTCTCTCTACTTTTGATGGTACTGACTGTCATTCATGCCAAGGGAAAATGATCATCTACCTGTTGTATTTCATGTCTGAGCAATTATGGCACCCATCCAGTCAATTGCACAAGTAAAGCTTGTGTGATTGGACATTATAATGCAAAGAAATAATAACCATAATGAGATAAATATAAGCTCATAAATTGAGAGAAAAATGTGCATTAATGACAGACATTACCCCAAAATAATGAAAGTGAGATTCACCATAAAATCCAAACTAAAACCTACATCTCCTAAAAGGTAATCTGATTAATCAACAGCACAAATGAGTATGATTACAAGAAGGATTGATGGCAAGACTTGTAACAGCAGGACCTTCCATTGTATAAATATCTGATATTCTGACACACGCCTTTCACACAACATTAATTCTGATGATTAATATCACAGTAAAAAGGACTGAGTTTGTAGACACTCCCTTCACAGTGAAGGTTGTGACATTGGCAATCTACGGCTCACAATTTTTTTTTTTTTCATGTCTCAAAACAAGCCAAAATAAAATAGCATAGACAATTTAGAAAAAAATGAAAAAACGAATAAAAAACTAACTTCCTTCTCATATCCAATACAATTCATCTTGCTAACAAGAACGTGCACACACACACTTGCAACCATATATACATAAGTACTAATACACCTTCATATGTACTCAGACTCAGTGGAACAAAAAAAATATAGTCACAACACAAACACACACACACTGTACTTTTTGACAAGTATTATTAATGCCATAACAAACAGCACCACAGCATTAACACAGTCTCACTTATCTCCATGAACACTTAGGATTGTAACTTCTTAGCTTTGATTTCTTTATAGGATGGCATTTGGCAACTGTCGCTGGTTCATTCAGCATGTTCCAGAGTTTGACCATTGTTGAGGGGCCGACACCATGACCCATTATGACCTCCTTGAAGAGACAGGGGCTCACAGCTCGAGGATGGTAACTGAAGCCCACGTTGTCCACAGGACGAACACCAATACTTCGTGCACACAGCCCTGTGAGGAAGACATCCTCTAAGTGGAAGTAAGGTGCAGCAAGGGCTGCCTTGAACAAGCGTCCCACCATGTCCCCAGAGTACACATAGCCTGTTCCAGACAAGTAGTTGGGATATTTGTTCTCTGGAAACATGTACTGTGGTGTGTACCATTTAGACCATTGGTCATGGATGGGCTTTGCACCACAGATGAGGCTCCCCATCAAGAGGGGTGTCTTTGTTATAGTTTGGTTCAGGAGGGTCTTCTGAAGGTTAACTACATTGACAAAAATGTCATCATCTACCTTCATGACAAACTTTACTGTTGGACAGTTGCGATGAACCCACTTCAGCATGAACA